AAGAACTCACAGAGATCTGCCTGCCTCTGCTTCCTGGGTGCAGGGATTAACTTCATGCACCATGACTATACACAGATTTTTTGTTTTAATCTCAAAATGTGTTTTGTGACCATGCTTTTAGAATGATTTCTCATTTTTCTATCTCTTCACATGTTGAGTTTCCTGAGGACATTCATTCCTCCATAGTAGTCATATTTTATTTGCTTTTTGTTCATTATGGCCCATTTGCTTTCTCCTCAAAGTCAGGTATCATGGGTAGTATATTCTCCCTCGAGCTAGGGAAAGGGGACTGCATTTTGACTTGAGTGAGCCATTCCTCTATAGCTCTGAAAGAGTGACCTCAGGAGAAAGGACAATTTTCATTACTCATGGGACAGGCCTTGGTAGATTCACATAGTGTTCTATACTGGTTCCTCCCACACTGAGAAGGTACTCACAACTGGTTTTTATTTGTTTGTTTGTTTTTGTTTTTTTAGCTGGGAAGCCTTTCATCTCTTTGAAGGGCCTAGAACAGAGGACAGTCACTTCAAATTCCGTGCCTTTTACCTGCACCACTGGCCCTTTCAGCTCCAGGAACCTCAGTGTTAACTGGTTTAAGAACAATAATAGACATCCAGCTTCAGCCCCACAGTGGCTGCCTATCAGCAGAGACGTTTACTATGTCACAAGCAAGGCATGGGTGGCATTGGCCAAACAAGATATCTTTTCTCAGATCACCTGTGAAGTCACCCATGGGGACCTCGATGAGCCCCTAAAAATGACCATCAATCTTTCTCAAGTGCTCCTAGGTGAGTGATCTCTGATATTTGGTGGGGCCACACTGGGATGATGAGTTTTTGCCAAATGCCCTATTTTACAAATGGGGAATAGAAATTGATCACTGCCAGCCTTGAACACAAGAATATGGATTAAAAGTACAATTTCAACGGGCTGATCAGCTGGACTTTGATCTTAGTTGTATCATTTCGTAGGCTACAAAATATTGGCCATGTGTCTTAAATATTCTGTGCCCCAATTTCTCTAAAAATGGAATAAAACCAGCACCTATTTTTTAAGTTTCCTCTCACCATTAATCCCATTGTTCTTCTAGAACACCAAGAAGCATGCCTAAAACACTGTAAGTTGTTTACGAATGTTTGACTTGCTATTGTATGGACTTAGCATACCTCTCTAAACATATTTGTCCTATTTATATCATTGCTAATGTTTAAAAGTTTCTAAGTATTTATTATTATCTGAAGCTTGTGGCATAAGACTTGTAATCTCAGCTCCTTTGGGAACAGGCAGGGATATAAAAAGTTCCAGTTCTGTAAGGGTTAAGACTGAGTTCAAGGCCAGCCTGGACAATTAGTGAAATGAAACAAAATAAGTGAAAAACAGAACTGAGGATGTACTTCAGAGGTGGAGTGCTTGTCTTCTGTGTATAAAATCCTGAGTTCTGGGAAATCTCCGGCACTGTGTAAAATATTATTCACTCAATAAACAATGAACAGCTACTGTGTGCCAGGCACTGTTGTAGGTGTTGTGATTATCAAGTCCCTGTTCTTGTAATGCAATTCATTTTAATAAATCCTATAATTATATGGCATAATATCAGGATATGAAATATTTAACTCTGACCAGATTAGATACCCATGTGTTTCCAGCTACATTTCATGAATATTTATTCTTGTCCCTATTTGTCTTACATGAAATATATACAAAGTTGTTTATTTAAATAGAGAGTGAATTTGTGAACTCTCTTCACTTGGGAACTCTCTTCACTTGGGAACTCTCTTCACTTGGGAACTCACAGCACCTGTACAAAAATTGCACAAGATCAGGCCACTTGACATTTTAGCATGAAATGGAGGTCCTCATGGACCCCTGCCCTCTAGGTCTGGACCTCCTGACAGCTTGTAGTTTCTGAGGGAATGATAGTGAGGTTTCTTTATGAGTGTGGCCCTGGTAGGTCAAGCATGCTCCAGTGTCCCAAACCCATGAATATATAGGCAGCACAAATTCAACTGGTTGGATAATAAGCAAAGAAAAGAGGGGCTGAAGGGATGGATTAGTGGAGGCAGAAGGATCAGGAACTCAAGGTCATCCCTGTCTACATTGTGAGTTCAAGGTCTTCTTGGAATTTTTGGGACCCTGTCAATAAACTACTCAATCAAATTTTATCAAAATGACTGAGAGAGACCTTGGGATAGGGAAATAAAACAGTAGCAAGATTTCACCTCTGTTCACTTACTGTTCCTCTCTAGTTATCCCCACACTGAAGATCACCATGAACCGTGATAAGGCTCATCAAAGAGTGAACCTGACTTGCCATGTAAGCCACTTCTACCCCCAAAACGTGCAACTAATCTGGACGAAGAATAACAACAAGATCCTGACTCCTGGGCTCCCTCACGTCACCAGAAACTCTGATGCGACTTACTCTCTAAAGCACACATTGCAAGACATTGCCAAATCGGATGAGAGCACCTTTAGCTGCTGGGTGTTCCAGTATGACCAGCCTCCACTGTGGGTCAACATCACCTTGGGAGCACAGGCCTCCAGTAAGAACAGAGGTATGTGTATTGTCTCCTTCATATCCTCAGGTCATTGTAGCTCAATGGCTAGAGACCCATGGAAACCCTTGGTGATACTGAAGAAAGGAAGCCCTCCTTAGTGAGAATGCTGTTGTATAGCCAAGCCCAACTTCACCCCTCTTCTTCCAGATACTTCCACAAAGAAATGAGTCTCCTTTGCTGCACTCATCATATTGCAAGTTTTTCTTCTTAACCCTTGGTTGCAAGAAATTGCCAAGGATAAAGATAGCTGGGCTCCAAATAATTTCTGAGTAGGTAATTAATCAAGATAGTGAATTCAGCTGGATGTTTCTGGAAAGCAACTTTGAAGAGCTCCAGAATTATGGACTCCTTTAGCTAGGAAAAGGGTCACACATCATGGGTGTAAATCCCCTCTGTCATTCCCTTCTCTCTGCTCCTTTTACTTTTTTCTATGCACACACTCTCCTGATGGTAATTTCTTCTATTTCTTCCCCATTTCACTCTTTCCAGACACATACCACAAGGGGGCACTGTGACATTACAAGCCAGAGCTTCCTTATTTCTTTGATCCAGATGTGCTTCATACTCTTGGGAGAAGGAACCACTGTTCTGAAGCAGAGGTGTTGGTGCAGGTGCACAGTCACAGAGAGATAGAATAATAGTCGGGCATGGGCAAGCCAAGGGTAAGGCACTGTGTGGGCTCCCTGCAGTGTGTTGCAGGGCAGGTAGCTACCTGAGAAAGAGTGGTGCCAGGCAAGCCAACAGCCTGTTCTCATAACAGGCTTCCACCTTGATTTCTGTCTAGCCCTGTGCAGAACCAGCCCTTTTCTGGTTGCTGTAAGAATTCTCAAAAGTAATGATCCCACAAGCCTTCAAATTTCTTTGGGTCCGATTTTCATTGCCCTGTAGAAATAAGAACAATATTCACCCACGGATGTACAGATCTTGGCGACAAACTCCAAAATAATGCTTTTTCATGGGAAGCAAGTTGAATGATGTTTTTATTAAGAGATTTTCTATTCATTTTATATTACATA